TTTTTATCAGTATGCGTTGTGGCTCTTTGGCATCTTTGGAAGTGGCGGAACGAAATTCTTTATGCTGAGGATGAGGTGAAAACCAAGAAAAAAGGTGAAGATCCATTCCCTTGTGTTCAAAATATCTCGAAGCTTTGGATGGGAAACAAAAATCGTAAATTTCATCTTAATTGGGAAGTTTGGTCTTCCTCTCCCTATTTTATTTAGTCTCTTTGTTTTTGTCCTCCCGTCTGTTTGGGATAGGTTTTTTTTTTTACTTTGGTTTTGTAAGGGGATGTCTTGGTTCCGTCTTTTTGCCCCTCGTATTTTTGGTTGCGTTGTATTTTCTTGTATCTAGCTTCTTGCTAGATTTGTTTTTGTTTTAATATAGTGGTTGGCTTGGTGAGGGTGATGGCCTTGCCGAAGCTCTCTTCCTTGTCCTTCCTTTTGCCTTTCAAAAAAATAAATAAACAGTACTTCATGCATAAAAAAATGTTTTATGATATAGTATAGATTAATGCATTTTTAAGGTGGATTAAAGATCCGAAAAGTCACTGGATATGTTTTAGCCAAATTTCTTCGTTTTGGAAAAAAAAATATATGTTTTTGATTTATTTCGAAATACTTTTTTTGGCTTTTTGATTGATTTTAAGACGGGGGTGTTCAATTTTTGGTTGACATCCCTTGTATTTTTTTTAACATCTTAAAGCACCCCTGAAAATTTAGCGAGTACACGTTTTATACCTCCAAAAAGAATCTATGTGCATGGGACCCTGCTCGGACCTTCATAGGTCCGCCCCTATCTGTTAACGATGAACATTGGTTTTAAGTTTTTGTACAACTGTTTTTCGTTAATATATATATATATATATATATATAACAGCTGATATTTAAGCTAAAAAAGAATAATTTTGCTAAGAGTATCATATGAACTCTAAGATTATACAACGAAACATTACATGGCATACAATGAAACAGCGTCCAACAGGGGAGGTCATCAAACCACCTAACATACTTCGAGAAACAAGCATGCAACAAGAAGTTTGGGTTTTGATTTTTGGTTATGGGTCGATCCTGTCCGATTTAAAGTTGATAAACAAGTCTAATAACAATACACCGAAGATAAAATGGCGAGTATCAAGAGTTTTATGTGCACAGGAACAATATATTATATCGTCTTAATCCATAATATGACTGAACCTGTACAATACAATTAATTCAGCTTGACCCTTTGATGCATTTGTATTATTCTACCTTTCGATTCCCTGGTTTGTTCCCAACCTGTTTGATCATTGGATTTAGGGTGTAAATGATACAAGTGGATATTACAAGGATAGTTCATTAGAATAAAAACATGTGTGTGTATATCTCGAGCACAGGTTTAGGTTCGGTCTCAATGGGAGAATAAAATTGCCCCCATTGCGGATAATTCCCCACTGCTGCCTCACGTAGGAGTCTGGTCCCCCAAATTGTTCAAGAATAGTGTCGTTGAGTTTTTCGACCCTTTGCTCCTTATCGGGGATCCCTAGGGAAGAGAATCAAGTAAAACTACAATTATTGTTAACCAAGGAAATATATATGTTATATTTATTAAGATATATATTATCAAAAACTATATATTATATTTTATTATCTACTATTATATGTATAAAAAAATTAAATTTAGTATATTTTAGATTTTAAAAAAATATTTTGACATATATTCTAATGTATATATATATATATATATATATATATATTTTTTTTTTTTTTTTGTTTTTAAGATAAAAAACCTACAAATCCTGAAAACGTGTACAAACAGTTACGCATGATCTTGTGATTTATCCTTGTATGAATATTTGATACTATATGAAAGTAAAATTTTGAAAATACGTGAGATTTAAACATGGGCTATTATTGATCGAGTGTAGTATTTAACCCATTTAATTAAAATATCTCACATGAATAGTAAAAATATTCTTGATTCCTTATTGGGGATCCCTGTTGAGAACGGGGCTTGATGGGAACGGGGATGAAGATCACCCATTCCCATGCTTTATGGTTCATTTGTTCTTTTTAGGATTCCCTCTTAAGTAGTGATGGCCAAAATCCGGTCTCAAACTGAAACAGTAACAATCTGGACGGGGACCGTAATACTAAGGGCTGGTTAAGAGTACTTGTAACAGTAACATTTTCCTTTTATATATTTTTAAATTTATTTTTGATAAATTTTTAAAAATACTTTAATGTTATTCTAATACAATTTAAAATATATAATTAAGTCAATCAAATACACTTAAAAATTACGTTTTATTATGGTTTTATAATTGGTTTTCAATCAAATACCTTTAGAAAATACGTTTTATTGTAAATTTGCAATTTGATTTTAAATCAAATACATTTAAAATACATATACAAATACATTTTTTTGTGTGGGGGGGGGGGGAATTCATGCCGGTCCTGGGCCGGGCCTTGTTTTTGGATGAAAACCATAACCGGTCCTTAACTGGCGGTCCCAATCAATCCTTGGCCGGACCAGTCCTAAGTCGGTCCCGATCCGGGTCCTTCGCCGGTCCCAAGCCGGACCGGGCCCATTTGGCCATCTCTACGTCTTAAGCCTCCATCCACACATATTTACGAATATAATACAATATATACATATAGTTAGATTCAAACAAAAATAATGTTAAAATAATAGAACACGAGAAAAACCAAATCACATATGATTACGATGCGATTATGACCCCCACGTAGGTCGTGGATCAAGTTGTTCCCATACCCTCGCATTAATCCGTGTTTCGTAGTCACATACTCGCATATGATTTTGTCGTTTTATTGTTCCGTTTTCGTTTTAACCTTCATTGTATGTATAAATGTGTTCGATTATATATATATATATACATCTATACACATGGGTACGTTGTGTATACATGCATTTTCTTCACTTTGTTTCTAATCATTATAAAAACTATACGATTCAAGATAACATGTGTTATTTCCACGTTGAAACACCACGGTATTCGTCGGTAGATTCCACAGCTCAGTCGCCGCCGCTGCAACCGTCGGAGCTGCCATTACAGCTCTGCTTGTAAAATGGAGAACCACCCATTTCCGCATCAATCCGAGCTTTCAAATCCAACAACAACCTTCTAAGTCTCACAGCCTCTAATTCCAGATCAGCCTGAAGCTGCAGTTTCCGAATTAATCCCCGATTCACAACCCTTAATTTCTTAACTTCTTCCTCTAAGTAAGCATTTTGTGCTTTCTTCTTCTCTCGATACTTCTTAACCGCTACCCGATTTCCCGATGGCCTGCCGGGTTCCACCGAATCATGATGATCTGGGTGAGTTTGTCTACACGTTCTTCTGTTCTTCAAGGAATCATTCAAAACTGGATCTTCAAGCTTTAATGGTGCGCGGAAGGTGTTCGACGAATTGCCTGTGAGAGGATCCGAAAGCTCTACCTCTCCATCATCCATTCTCCTTCACACACTACTGATCAAATTGAAGTTCCAGGTACACGAAATCCCAAATCCCTTCAATTCCCACAGAAATTTTGATCACCCACAGCCTCTTTAGTTCATAATGAACAGGGGTACGGATTACTAGAACATGTTCACCAATATTTATCACCTTTTGGAGAGCATAAATTCTTCAAGAAAGATTCATCAAAATAATCTATTTAGATCAGAATAACATTAACAATATGAATAATTTATGATCATTTGTCAAGATCATAAGCTTCCCACCAGAAGATTGACACTAGAACACTAGAAAGCAATGGATATATAAAGGATATGCCACCACTATCCTCGTAATGCTGGGAAGAATCACTATGAACATATTCAACTCTATCGATGTAATTTTATACATTTTGTCACCATAGAATTTAGATATCCGGATTCAGTCCCTAGACAAAACAAAATCACATAAAAACCACTCAACGGTTTTCGTATTGAAACATCAAACCCAACAACACCTATAAACGGTTATCATCCCCGTGATACTAAAAATGTAACCATTTCTTATCATTTAAAAAGATTTGATCAAGTTACATTAACATATTTATGATATTCATTTTGAGGAACTTAATTTTAAAAGCCTATTTTTTCTATTTATGAGTTATGACAAGATATCTTAAACGTGAAAGTTTCAAATTCTTTAAGAAAATGATTTTTCATTTACAAGGTTAACAAAGTCCTTGCAGTGGCACCGGTCTAGAAATTTAGGCAATTGGGCGCACAGGGGCGGATCCAGCCTTTAAGCACTGGGGGGAAAGCCCCTCAGTCAAAAACCAAAAACCTTTGTTGACTAGCTTAAATTTTCTATTTTCACTCTCGTCTTACATGGTTTCCCCCAGGCCCATATGGCCATATGCTTCCCTCCTCCAAGTCCCATCCAACGTGCCCCCATCCCAATAATTTTTGGATTCGCCACTGTGGGGTAACTCATCCAAATCAAAATGGTTTTTGGTTTTTTGGTTTTCAGATTGAAAAGTTCATATGTTCTCAATCATTTTTTTATTATTTTGGTTAAACCAAATAGCACATTATATTTTTTTCCATGTTGAATCATTTTGCAACCAATTTTCATTTTTGGGCATGAGCGTAAAGCTTAAAACTTTAGTGGGAAAATGTAATACGTTAGTCACTAGAGGAGAAACATAAGATTTTCAAAATTGTCCATTTTATACCAACCAAAATGCGAACTTTTTAACGTTTTTGGGGCTAAAAAATTAAGTTTCAAACTCTTAGTGGTCAAACTATAAAATTTCAAACTTCTAAGTAGTATTTTAGATATAAACTAAATCCGAACTGTACCAGTTGACAAAGCGGATTTTCAAAGCTGTCATTATCTGATTCTCATTTTCATACATAGTCATATTTTAAGCCGACAATGCGTCAATCAAGGGTTATATCGTTAACAAAAGGCTATTTAACCTCTCTTGCGGCTCAATTGCAACCACAAAAGGCAAATGATGCGTCAATTATCATTATTACAATACCGACCACAAACAATTCTCAATGGTTGTCGCTATCTTCTGACTCGCGGGGCTTATTTCTTCTGGAATTTTTATATGAATTTATTTTGTTCATTGTTTTCCGCTCATGACTATCACCATTATCTGTCCTTGTGTCGGTATTAGCGGCTTAGGTGGTACGAACTCGTTTCACCCTCGCAACTTTTTGATATGCCTTACTTTGGCCGCTCCATGTAGAATTAATACATCCTTTCTTTTTTATTGTTTTTTTAATTTGTTTTTTAAGAATATAATATTTATATATGACAAATGCAACAAATAAATTCATACACTCTCCTCATTTTTGCTGAGGTTTAAACCCCTGACCTCTTAAGAGGCCAAAGACTACGATACCGCTAGAACAAACTTTGGTATTATTGTAACTTTGGTATTATTGTTTTTTTTACACATCGACTTCTAGAGGTTGGCAGTTTCTACCCCTCCTTTCTTTGATTGGTAGATGTGGTTTATTAAATAAGAAAAGAATAATTTAGGATTAGAAATTCTCGATAACCAATAGAACTGAACCAACCACTTCGATTTGCTCCAACTTGAAATCGCAACTGAATTTCTTTTTATTTTTGATTCGAACCCAATTTTGTTTCAACCCACGACCTCAATAGGCTCCGGACGGAACCGTTTTTAAGGACACCAACGTAAGGACACATTTTTTTGACTCACTCAGTGATTGTGACTAGCATGGGGTAAGATCGAACCTTGGACCTATCTTGTACATAGGCAAAATCATCTCACCCTTTTGTCAACTGAGTTACAAGTTATCGGCATATTTTTGAAATTAAGAGACTTTGGGGCTGTAGTTTTATGATCTGTTTCTGGGTAAGAGATTATCAGGCAAGAAATAATGTGGTAAGCCAACGTGCTATAACCGAACTCCTCTTCTTTCTTTTTTAATTACCTTCCGGTCGTTCATTCTTCAAGGCATAATCTTTCAAAAAATTGACAAATTGACTCTATATCCAATCGGATTGAAAGTGAACGTCGCCAAAAAGTGGCGAGCTTGATGTAGTCCACTTGATATCTTCGTATCCGAGAATCCTATGGGTGAAAAGCCTGATCCCTATAGAGCGAAAGAGCGCTCTACTGGCTCTAAGACCCAACATTATAGGAGTATAAGTTTTCCAGCCCCTCTGTCCCCGAAATACCGCAGTTGAACTGTTGAAGCACCTAAAGGAGAATTTGGAATCCCCCTATCAAGCAAGAAAGAAGCGGGATTGAGCACAGTATGAAAGATCTTTTAGAGGAGAATTGACCATTCAATCTTGTGAACTAATCGAGACCGAAATTGGAGATTACCACCAAAAGCGAGATACCTAATGTTGACCAGGATATTGACCCGATGAAAATAAAAAGACTTAACCGGTCGAAGTGTCTTATCTGGCCGCACCTACCCAATTCTTTTGATAAGCAGTCTCTCGGGGTTATATTGACTTACGGGTTTGTTCGATTCCAGACTAGTTCAACTCGATCTAGTTTTTTTTATTAACCTGAATATTCAACCCGTTATGCGAGCCGACTAATTCCAGGACGACCACATGCTTTGCAGATGGCCCGGAGTCACCGCATTTGAACATTCGTGGTCACAAAGGGATTTTTATACCTCATTGCATTTGAACCCAATACCTCCCGATACTTTTGACATTTGAAACCAAGTTTAAACTAATCAGACACCACTCTTATAGTTTCATTATTTGGAATTATCGATTCCGGTCTATTTTCAACTAATAATAGTAAGTTGCATTAAATCAAAACGCCTCATTTATCATCGTCTTTAGATACATGTTGTGATCACACTCCACGTATCAATTGGACGCTGGTACTCTGGGAGAGACTTTTCCATTCCCGTTTTCAAGCACCAAGATCGCCCAAATCGACTGTAACCCTTGATCTTGCTTTTCGCATTTGGAACCCTGTGAAATCACTATTGATCAAGATCGACCTAGCCCTACATTCTCGAGATTTATCAGAACGCAAGGAAATTAGGGTTCTTGACATCCAGGTAATCTCCTCTTTCCGGTGTATCGTTTCATTTTCATTTTATGTTCATGCGATTTATGCCAAGAATGGATTCCTTTCAACTCCAAGTATGGTAATTGCTTTAATGTAGATTTTCTAAACGATTTCGGCTTCAAAATATGATATTATTTTCAATCACGTCACTTCGTTATGGTATGTCGCACTCTGGATTAGTAATTGGAATCGAACAATTGGTTTGTTGATTAGGTTTCGTTACGACTTATGATTTTCTTGTGATTCGTATTTATGAATTTTCATCGTTGATTATGTTTCTTATCAATAATTCTCCATTGTTGAACTCAATTCCCCTCTACTTTTGCTCAGAAGAAGACGATTTGATTTTGAATTAAACGAGTTTCTCTTCAATCTCTAAGTTGAAATGATTTCTGAACTTTTCATGGTAACTTGCTCAGGATAATCACTTTGCAACATCTACTATAATCTAGCAACAATGGTAAATGCAAATTGATGTTGATATTAAAAAAGATCGAATCAAAATGCTTCCCTTTTTGAAATGGAGTGTAGAGTGAAATTCCAACTGAAGTTAGTAACCTTTTGTTTCTACTTAGAAGTATTATTCATTCTTGTCGTTGTGGCAGCAGAACATTGCTTGGAAATGGGTATGTGTTGTAGATGGATTATTGAGTTGAAATGGTCGTAAATTTACGTGACATATGTTACGATTTCTATTGGAATTTTAAGAGAACGAGTGGACTCGAAGCATCCTCCAACTGGGAAGCAAATCTAAGAGAACAATTGGAACTTTAAATTTTAATATCATAGTGGTGGGAGAAGGATTGAGTTCGAGTATCATATGGATTTCAAGTTCAAATATTTGCAACTGCTGATCTTCATGTTGGCATCGGCTGCTTTTGCCATTAGGAAGGATGTCAGTTTCCAAGAAACACAAATCTGCAGAACAACCGTTCAAGGAAGATATTTAATAACTGATTATACTGGTTACGTCTGTGATGCCCTTTCACTTGATCCTCAGTCCCATTGCTGCCGTGTGAAAAAAGAACAGTATAGCTGCCATGGCTGCAATCTTGTTTCACAATGCTGCAATTCCTACGAATATTGTGTTTCTTGCTGCCTAAATCCTGAAAGAATACATATCGATCAAGCTTTAACAGTGAAGATCGCTAAGCCAGTAACTTCCGGGTCCTATTCAAGTCTTTTTGATTACTGTGCTGGGAGATGTCGCCATAATTCCGAGAGCGTGGTTCATGAAAACGCTTATCACAGTGAATTCCACCATTGTTTTGCGCTGCCATCCAACATGTCTGCCGGAATCACTGATACGCAGATAGAAGTCCGGCTGATTGGCATTAATGTTATCGTTGGTAAACAAGGGGAGTCGTGTGATTCTGTCTGCAAATCAAGTGGGCAATCATGTGTTCCAAGCAAATTCGTGCTTATAAATCAATGTGAAATTATGCAGAAGTATATGAAATGCAGAGGATCGTGTTTGGCAAGCATAGGTTCTGACCAACCTGCTGAAGTGGTCGAGGACGCCCCTACAAATCTGAATCCAGGAGCATGCTTATATACACGAAGACCATCGTTGCTTTCTTGTGACGGATCTCATCAGCATACAAGGAGGCTTTGCCCCTGTGCTTAGAAGGTTGATTGACTTATCCCATTTATGGTAACATGCGTTTCAGAATCATCATCATTTGTCGTTATTCTGGTTTTAAAACATAATTTGATCCAAATTTGATACAATCTGTTACAGATTCAGCTAACGGTGTCACCTAGAGGACAATTGACCCAATTCAGGCAGCAGATGTTATTACATGCCCTTGCCATTGTGAGGCTGCTTGCATCTGCAGAATGCAATAGATGAACCCGTTTTTCATCATGCTTGTAATCTTAGCAAGATCAGGTGAGTTAAAATCATGTAGTAGTTATCAATATATTTCCGTTGCTAACTTGATGATTAAATGGGAAGTTGTAGTAAAATTTCAAGTTTGTAGGAAAACGGAAAGCCGGTTATAGATAAATGAAAAAGAACCCCTTTTGTTTTTCTTTTATTTTGGGTAAGTTTTGAATCTTGATTTACATTTGTGTCTTTTAGTAATAATGGCTGTGGTCATTATTATTATCGGAGCCGAGCCAGGAATGGCTGTTAAAGTTCACTGGTTAGAAAGACCCTCTAACCCTCTTTAGTACATTAATCGGCCGTTTACTAAATACCTATTGGGTAAACACTAAACACTAAACACTTACTGGTAAGAGTCACCATTCTCACTTACCTCATCGGGTAACATTCCCAGCAATCAAAATGGATTGTTGGCAAGTATATCTTAGGGTAAGATTGCCGGTTGTTGCCATGCTAACTGGGTAAGCGTTTGGTAAAAGTCCCTAAGAAAGATGTTCACACAGGCGACAGAAACTTGCTCATAGGAATTTAGACCACCTATGGCCTTGGTGAAAATCATCTTGATGAGTCGGAGTAAACAACGATCTCGAATTAAGCTGTCCTTTCCCAAAATAAGAAGGGATTTGCTGTCTACTCCTTATGGAAACATATTGGTTCACAGAATTTGAAGGAATTGGAATTTTCCAATTCCTTTGTTTGGTTCACTTCTTGAAATGGATAGAATCATTCAAATTTCATTGAGTTCCACAAATCAATGAATTCGTCATTCTTTGGCATAATGGAAGGAATTGAATTCCATTCTTTTGCATCCAATTTAACCAACACTGTCACTGTCACACCCCCACCACCACACCACCACTGTCGCAGTCACAACCGCCATCCACCCCCACCCTAACCCCCTCGCCCACCCCCAACCATGCCACTACATGACCACCATGCTGCTACTATTGTTGTCACATTTGTCACCCCTACCTCGTGACCCACCCACACCAACCCCACCTCGCCACTAACCACCATGCCACTAATATCGTCGTCACAGCTGCCACCCCACCCCGTCACCCACCCACACCACTCCACCACCGGACCACTATGCTACTACTATCGTCGTCACAGCTGCCACTCACCCTCATTATGGGGGTGGGGGCAGTTGATGGCGGGTGTGGGGCAGGGGGACCGGGCAGGGTAGGACAAGGGATGGTGTAGCTTTGCTTAGGACCGAGGCGATGGTCAAGGTGGTGGTGGGGGTAGGAGGGTAGGCGGTGCCACCCTTGCCCACCACCGTTACCACTATGGTCATCACAATTGCGACCCCCTCCCCACACCCTCAACTCCGACCACCAATATCGTCATGTCACTAACGGAGATTTCATTCTAATTCGTACCAACCAAACGCCTGGTCAAATTTCATTCCAATTCCTTCAAAGTCATATTTTTTGATGGATTTCAATTCCACCAAATTCCATTTTGCGAAGCAAGCAACCCCTAAATACCCTGGTTTTGTTATATTCTTTCCTTCCATTAATCATGGTTGTGGCTTTTTCAGCAATTAAATGCTGAAAATAAAAGGTATTTTGACATTTGATGAAACTCAAAACATTTTATTAAGGCAAATTGCATCGCCCAGATTCCTATTCTTTTGTAACAGTAAATCAAAATTGCTAGTTGATGAATCGAAGTAAGGTTTGTATTTGAGACCAAAAATGACCGGTTGAACCAAAAATCAAACCCACACTGAACCAGAATATCCCCAAAAGTCGGGTTTGGATTTTCGAATTTCGGGACATTTAGGTTTTGTACACATACCTCTTTTCCGGTTCGGGTTTTTGGACCATTCAGGATTTACACACCCCTACTTCTGCTATTCCTCCACTCTAGTTTACCACCGCTCCAATAATCGACTTCGACGGAGGGCTGATCACCCAGAGAAAGGGGTTCTTCATCGTCGGCGATGAAGGGGCAACCAACATTGGTTGGGAGGTAGGATCAAAAAGGTAAATTACATTAAAATCCACATCAACAACAAAATCCATACCATTTCACACAATCAAAAAACGTATCAATAAATGTTAATTCGTAATAGGAATTATAGAAATTAAATCCTTGCCCAAAACAAAAATCAAGACGAATTCGGTCATGTTTTCGTGTAGTTCATCTTTTCTAAAATTGAACTCTAAAACTAAAGCAAACGATTCTAATACATTCTACTCGAAATTAGGGTGTGGGTTGGGAGATGTATGATGCATACATAATGCTTTAATCATTGGGATCGGAACGTTGTTTATGTGCACAAAACAAAAAGATACGTAATACAAGTAGAAACCAATGTAAATGACAACTTAAACATGTAGACAAGACCAGTAACAAAGTCAAGCTGAAAGTCGGTCTTATCAGGTTGGTCGGGTTGCTTTGAGTTGAGTTATTTTATATTGGGTTGGGTCGGGTCAGGTTTTTGAGCACGGAATAACTATTTACTATTTTGGCTGATTTCCCAAAAGATAAAAAAAAATTAAGTACAATTATATTAAATAAAAGAATTACATATTTTCACATGTTTTGGGACAACAAAAAAGCTTTCTTTCAGTAGCAATAGCAATCAACAAGCTCGATTCAAATTCGATCAATTTAAACCCTAATCCAAAGGCTTAGGCGGATCATTCTGTAAAAACTCATCAATGGTGGACGGAAACTCAAGTTCTTTACCATCTGAAACGAATGCAGCCTTGGCCAAAAGCAAATGCGCCAATCTCAATGGCTCTCTTCTGCCATTATTCAACAAGTACTTGATCCATCCATCTAATCTCTCAACTTCCTTCCTACACTTGGGTCCTTTCACCTGCACGATCTTCTCGTAAAATTCATAATCGCCAAAATAAGGCATCTCCGGCCGTTTTCCATCGGAATCCGATAACCCAAGCAACCGAATCATCGAATCGATGTCGTCAACGCTGCTGATTTCGGGAACTTTGTTTTCCGAATCGTGGAATAGAGGAGGGTTTTTGCGAGGTGCGAAATCGTCTAGATCGTTATAAGAGAGGAATTCTTGAGGAGGTTGTTCGATTGAGTCGCTGTGGAGGGTTGAGGAGGTGTTTGTCGGTTGGTTGTCAAAGTAAATTGGGGAGCTGCTGAAGGAATCCGTTGCTTGCGGTTGAGTGGTTTCTGGTGAATTTCCGTCGTCCAGTTTCAAACGCTTCTCTACTTGTTTAAGAGAGGAGAAGAAGAGTTTGTTGGGAGGTTTCATGGTTCAGTGTTCACCGTCGAAACGAATGTTGGTAAACAATGGGTTTTATTGAGAAAATGGACCAAATAAATTACAATTTTGTCCGTATGGTTTGTTGAAAGTTGCTTTTTTGTCCTTATACTTTTGAAATTTACAATTTATACCCTTATAAGGTCCAGAAAGGATAAGATAAAGTAAACACCCATATAAATATAAACTATGAAGGAGCTTAAAGCTTTCATGGTTCTTCTTACATTTCTGGACTCTTAAAAAGTCAAAACAAAGATCCACCTTCATGCACTACTATTTATTGTAATACAAACTAAACAACTCTCAAACCTCTGTTTTCGAATTCACTTTCTACGTTGACCGACAGCCCTAATGAATCCGCGATGCTTCTGACTTCCGCGATCATCGCAACCACATCGTTCAGCTTGTTTATGGCTGACCCGACACCCTATTTTGCAAATGGATACACATGAAAGTGGTCAGTTGTCGAAAACGGAAAGAGGGTTTTCAAAATTTGATAGAAAGACGTTCAAGATATGTGCTTACCACTCCTGCAGCCCCGGCCGTGATGGCCATCGGTGCTGTAACCGCACTTAATCCGGATGCACACATGACCGGGATCTTAACAGCCCGTGAAATCGAATAAGCTGCTGCCAGCGTCGGAGTTGCCTACGTTTTGTTGTAATTAAAGATAACAAATCAGAAACCATAGTAATCGTTATCATTTTCGGCATGCAAGATTAAGATGGAATTCTGTTCAGTTTGTATAACTAGTTTATGGTGAACAGCCGAGGACGGATATGGTAGCCTTAGAGATTTCTGAGGACATGATATCTGATAGAAGTTCTTGGAGACACAGGATTAGGTTAAACAAACTAGGTGCAGGGACCAGTTGCCTGAGAACATGATTACTGATAGGAGTTCTTGAAGACGCGTGCATGTTTGTTAGTAGCTTAACGAGCTTAATGGGGCTCACAACTTATTTGGTCAACTATACATGATAGTTTGGTACTGGCTTAATGATATGGAAAGTGGCTTAGTCAATAAGCTTTTAGGGGAGAGCTTTATACAAAAAACCAAGATTTTCCAAACCTTCCCCTCCCAATTAAAAAACACGCTCCTTCCGAATCTATATAGATAGATTAATCCACAAAGACAACTTTATACATACAAGACTTAGTGGAAAACCAACCAAACAGGTGTAGGGCAGGTTTGCATACATTCTAGCCCCATCCCACCCCCAAACCCTACTTTCAAGTGTGATATATTGGCTTTGTTTGGTTTCTTGTCCCACATACCAAACGCACAAAAGAACGAATGACACCTAACAGGAATCGAACCGCTAGGCCATCCGTTTGACGTTATGGGTGTACGTGTTGAAATCTAGTCTAACCTTTTCGATTAAACCAAGAACACCAGACTTTGAAGGATTGGAGCATTTTCCTCCTTCGGTCTGAATGATGTCAACGCCTTCTTGTTCCAACTGCTCGGCCAGCTTAGCCTGTAAAATCAACATTCATCGTCACCCGAATCTAAATTCTTCATAAAACAAAAACCATATTTTGATCTTTAAAGGCGTATTACTTGATCCAGGAGGCTTAACGTATGCGGCACGGTGACCGATAACGTCACTGATGGAAGAATTCTTCGTGTTTCCATCGTTAACTTCAGTATCTACAGAAAACATCAGATGATGGTTCAATTCACGATCCCCTTCAACCGCGTATTGGAATGTTACGTTATATTGTGTGAATATGTAACCTTCACATAGACAGTATAAAGTTATATCTTTACAGTTCTCACGACAAACTTTCACACAGTATAAGGATACTTCACTTTTTCTCACGTTTTCACGAAAATGGGTTGTTCTCACCAGAACCCGACCTCATCTAGTCACTTACCATTAAAAGAGAACAAATGCTTGAAATTTTATCTTGTAACACGCGATATCTACAAACGAACCTGGTCAGGTGAAAAAACGATGCCTGACTCGTAGAACGAATCATAGTTCCCGATCTCCACCTGCATATAACATTTATTCGTTATGAACCATAAATACGACCCTATCTATAGTCGAAATCCAAGATAACGAATTAAAAATATCAAGTGGTTTAATGAAAGTTAAGGGGGGGGGGGAACCATCGAAGCTCCGGCTTCAACAGCAGCAAGAAAAGCAGACGGATCTACGGATGAGACACAGACCTGACAAGGAGACAAATAGAAGCATATGACTCTTAGAGTAGAGTATGCAAACGAGCCCAGTATATTCGACCCGCAGGTGGGGTCCGGGGAGGGTGGGATGTACGCAAACCTGACCTCTATCCCAAAGAATAGAGTCGTTTCCATAAATACCCTCGACTTGTAAGAAGTGAATTTTTTTAAAGAATTCGAATTTGGAAGGAATATTAAGTTGCAACATACGGGGAGACAAGTTAAGCTGGTGACTAGCTTGACCAACTCCGGATCACAAGCTATATCGACATGTGTTGCTCCACCCTACGAGCACACGTACGGAGAAAGATCGTTAATACCGCTTCTTATTGCATACATCTAATCAATATAAGAACATAATGAACAAAAAACTGCTTAATGACCTATGATCAATGCTATATAGAGATTACTCTTTGTTATAGCAGGTGATGCAAGAAAGCTGAATTGTCATTCTATCTGTTGTATTTCACGATTACCTGCTATATTACCTATCATATGTCTACTGGGGTCTTCACGGAAACAACGTCAGTATTACCATATTCTTACATGGTATCAGAGCCAAGTTCTACCACTGAGGGGTGTGTTAAGAGTCCCATGTTGGATGAAATTGAACCATTTCTCCTCAATATAACCTCTCCTCTCTTAAGGTCTTATGGAGGGTAATAAGGGGTTCTCAAACTATATGTAACATCCCGACCAATCGTACCAGATATTGTCCGTTTTATCCAGACCTAGACGTACGGTTTTAAAACGTGCATGATAGAGAAAGTATATCGTCCCTTGTTTAAGACAACTTTTGTTCCCTCCCGGATAATGTGGGATTTAAATACTCCCCCTTAGAGTCCTCGCTGACACAGTTCCCGGCTCTGATACCATGTATAATGCCCTAAACTCGAAAAGCTACATACTGAGTGGATAATTTCGGATTTAGCTTAAAACCATGGCGGAAGTTATTGATAGGCTACAGAAGCTCACAAATCTACTTTTCTATCTATTATCCTCAATTAGTTACCATGGCAGAAAGACCCACAAACACTAAAAAGCATTTTGAGGCATTTTAACAAGTAATAGAGTAGAAATGGTTGGTTTGCAACAGATGTAGAGCTGTACCTTATCAGCAGCAGTAACAACAGAAGCAACGTTGTCTTTATTGAAATTCTGCAACCCAGAAATGATCTGCAAAACCACCCACCAAAAAACGTTGGATTACAAAAATTAAGAATCTAAAAAGGATGGAAACCAACAGAAGAAAAGGAAACGGGTGAGCAGACCTTGAGTGCTCTTCGTTCATGGAAGGATTTGAGAATGGTTTCCTTGGGGACGGAAAGAGAAGCTCTGGGAGTGAAACGAAGTGTTGAAGGGCGTTTCGGAACAAGGGAATTGGAATTGCAAAGGGAATTGGAATTGGAATTGGGTTTCAAAGGGGTGTATGAAAGGAGGGAATTAGGTGTGCAGATTGTGGAATTCATCTCTTTCACTGTGTGGAAGCTTCAAGGCAAAAGGATGGGAGATATTGGCAGCTTTATCCTCAATTCCTTAAAAATCTATCTTTTTAACATGTTGATTCCGGACTACCTATGAAATAGCCTGTTATCTGGCATAAGGGGTTGAATATTCAGGTTAATAAAAGAAATATTGTTTATGTTTGTTTGGCAAATTTAACTTTAAACTGAAAATAGGCTTTACGTAAATGCATATTGGATTTACGTAAACCGACTAAAATGAGAATGTGATGTCGAAAGTGGTTAAAAAGTGTATTTGATTGATAGAATTGGCTATTTTGGTCAATTTCCCTTTTTAATTCCATATTTTTTTATTCTTTTGAATAATATGATTTTGAATCAAGTGTGCTAAATAAATCTCTCCTAGTTTTGCACAAAAACCCGATTAACTCATTCAATTTAACTCAACGCCACTTGGTATTTGATCGTGTTGTAAAATATTCAAAAGGTTAGTATTTGGTTGAAATTGGGTTAGAGTCATTTGAGTCCAACTGTCACACGCTGTTTTTTTCATGGATGGGACCAATCTAAACCATCAACGGAATGAAACTAAAACCATAAATATCTTACAAACATTTGCAGCGGGAGATTTAAACATCTAATCAAACGCTAAACAAGCTGAAAGACTTAAAAGATCTAAAACATCGGGTACTAAGTCTATTAGATCACCAAATACTTAAACTGAATAGTTAATAAACAACCAACTTTGAGTGATAAATGCACACTTGTCCCCAGGGGTGCTTAAAAACCCGACCAACCTGATCGACCTAACCCAAAAAATTCTAAAAAAAAAAACCAACCCGAGGTAAACCGATACATGATTGATCAAAAAATTAGCCAACCGACTTTATTGGGTTGGAATTGGGTCAAGCCCCATAGGACCCGACCTAACCTGATAACCCGTGTGTGCCCTATACTCCTACAGTCTTGTTTCAGTCTCAATTAGCAACAAAGCAACGCAGCCGCACAAAGCTTTGGATTCACAAAGGCTTCGATTCACAGCCTCAAAGGTTTCAATTCACAAAGGCTTCAAATTCACAGCCTCAATTCAAAGGTATCGATTTACAGCCTCAAAGGTTTTGATTCACAGGTATCGATTCACAACCTCAAAGGTATTGCGCTTCAAAGCTTCCACATGTTTCAATTTTGACTAATTATTGGCAGCTCCTGAATGGTTTACTGCAAAATGATTAAGTGGTCAGAATGATTAAGTGGCTGTTTGTTTGGCTCTTAATGGTTACATTAAGAGCCAACCTCTTAATCGGTAAGAGGTTAAGG